CGCTAACTTGGAAAGTACTGGTTGGATTTTGATCATATTTTCACACAAGGTTACTATTAGGCAAAGGACGAATAAGCGATATAGTTTTTTAAAATGAAAATCGTTCAAACTTGCTCTGATTATTTTTGAAAAAAATGTTAGGGGTAAAAATTGGGGTGTGGGTGGATTGTAGGGGTTGGGGGAGGGGGTATCGCAATTTTTTGATGTCAGTATACTGAGTGACAAAAAAGGTAACGACCTGCGTATGTTTATTAGATTTGAATAATTTTTAGCCTTACCCTTACTAGTAAAATGATTAAATTTTCAGCTTGATTTGTCAACTGACTGCAGAAGCTGGTTCAATAATGTGTTGCGGATCCACGATTTCTTATACACTCATTGACACGCTTGGGCAACGTGCTTATAAGGTGATCGATATCCTGTTGGGGTATCTCATTCCAGGATACTGCAAATTCGTGAGTAAGAGCTGCTAAAGTCTGTGGGTGTTGCAAATTCAAGAGCCTGCGACATATCAGGTCCCAGTCATGTTCAATTGAAGATAGCTCAGGCGATCGGGGAGGCCAACGTAAACGGTTGATGGGAGGTTGATCCATGAAGGCCAACGATGCTCGGGCAACATGCGGTCCTGCATTGTCTTACTGAAAAATCGGGTTTTGGATGGTGTTTAGGTATGGAATAAGATGAGGCTTCACTACTTCCTGAATATAGCGTCGGGCTGTCATATTGCCTCTGATGAAAATCAGTGGTGATCTGCTACCATAAGCAATAGCACGCCATACCATAACTCCACGGGATGGTGAACGTGACGCTCTCTGTAAAATCGTGGGTCACGTCTTTCACCACGTCGCCTTCTCACCCTTGCCCGACCATCGTGCCTCCCCAGACAGAAGCGGGATTCGTCATTAAAGGCCACCTGATTCCATTCCCGGTCCCACAGAATTCCCTCTACAAAAGAGCAAACGGTTACGCCGATGTTCAGCTGTGAGAGGTATCACCCAATGTGGGCGATAAGAAAAAAGGCCAAACTGTTGTATTCCGCGATATACCGTACGCATACCAACCATCCCTTCCATGTTCTTCAAACCACTCAAATCGCTCGAGTACTACGACTACTGAATCTGTCTCTCAGAGCCAGCCTGAATTAACCGGTGGTCTTGTCACTCTGAGACGTCCAGAACCCCTCGCTCGCTGTCCTCGGCCTTCCCGTGTCCACGTTCGTTCACACGGTAGTATACTGCGTAAGGATCTGTTGGTCCTCCTAGAAACTTCTCTTATCGATAGACGAGCTTCACGCAACCCGACAATTCGTCTCTTCTCAAAGTCACTTAGCTGGGACACCCGGCGAATTCTACGCATTCTAGTCATTTTCAGCAATCACAAAAACGCTTCTCAATAAGCTACAAGAAATTTAACATTTAACTGACGGCGTAAATGTACGAAAACTGAATGCTTCTTTATCATCAAACAATACACGCAGCCACCATAAAAACTTAACAGAAAAACCTGACCATTTTACCACTTGTTGTTCATGGCAAGATAAATCGACATGTAAAAAATTCTTGAATTCTAATAAATATACGTAGGTGTTTACCTTTTTTGTCATTCAATATATTTTATACACTTCCAATCCCAATTATTCTTCGCACTTATTAGACATATAACTCAGAGAGCGACAGAAAAATGTGTTCTACCCGCGTCTCTACATCTGCTGACTTGAACGACCGCGGCCGGCGTTTCGGTGTTCGTATGTGACCTGCATGACGTGTCCTGTGAGTGCTCTGCCACGTGTGACGCATCATGCTTTCAGATATTGGGGAGAGGCTACGCGACGTTGCCAGTTGGACGGTGTTATGGATGGGGCAGGGATTTCACGTTATAGACTAATTGTACGAACCTGTTTAACGCACTTGATCCATTTAATTTCTCTGCTTACACATGCTCGTAACTAACTTTTTTCTTAGAGGGTTTGCCTTAAAAACATTCTGCTTCTATTCGTCTAAACGAAGTCAGCCAACCACAGACCGATGTTTCATACTTTTTTGGCAACTTATGAGCATACTCTAGCGCTTTGTGTGTGGGATAATAATAATATTTACTCCTAAAATACAATATAAAGAATGAGTAAATAAATAGGGAACTTGGGGTCATAGGACATGGACCATTAATGTTGTGCATATTATTGAAATAATAATAAATATGTTGCAATTATGTTGATTATTGAAATATGAATAAAGATAATCAAAGACTATTTGATGTTCACATTTACTATTAATTTGTACACGACTGATCTTGCTAGCGAAAAAATCTATTATTCTAATGATTTTTTGAAGTTATTCCCAAAGTGTAGGTCCTTGGTAGCGTCAGGTAAATTTAATTATAATTTTCGTCCTAAATAAATGTGTGATCGGTGTCTTATAGATTTATTTGGTCTAGGTACAGCTTTTTTTCTTAGTTTATGCTTTTTTTGGTGATTGTGTTTAATGTTTCGGTGGTTATTAATAAATTTGTGATAGTTGCTTATAGCATGTAAGAGATAAATCTGTTTTAAGTCATACACGTGTATATCGTTGTATATCAGTTGGATATAATTTTGGTTTGTTAAACAGTGTTTTTAAAATGATTTTTTGGAGAAATATACAAATCATAAATATGAGTTGTGCTTATGGCTCCCCATGCCAATTTTAAGTTAAATGTGGCCCGATCAAACTCTGGTATAAGGTATAGAGATATTTTTCTTTGAAAATATTTTTGATATATTTAATTTTATACGAGAGCTATATATCTTTTTTTAAATAGACAAAAGCATAGCAATTATCATCTATCTAGGATATAAAATCCATGGCCATGTCTTATTTCGATAGCGTCTAACTTTTGCTGAACATAATCCTCTATGTTGAGCATAAGTTTACGTGGGAAGTGTAGTCAACCTAATTGACGACATTTTTTAAAACTAAAGCTATTGGTTGGTAGTTTATGGCTGAACTACCTGACAGTATTCTTTATTATAAGCCTTTATTAAGTTGGCTCGTTAGTATGTATGTTAATGTGGAAAAATGAAACTGAATTTTGAAACAATTATCTCCAATCAATTGAGCTGAAATTTATATAAGTTTGTTGTCATGACAATATACGATAAATCAGACGCCGTCATCTTGAATCTAATATGATGGAAGCTACAAAATGGCGATATATCATTTCTATAGTAACCTCTATAATCTGTGTATCAAATAAAATGGCATGATGAGAGAAATACAATGAATCCTGTGATATGGGTATCTAATGAAAATACCTACTGCATATTATCTATTATGACATGGAGCTGATCTGACAATGGAGCGAGAAGGTGGCCATATTAACTCTTGAATAAAACAACGCAAGCCCATGGGTTTGATTCTTTTCGTCAAGTACTCCGCGTCTAGAGTCTGATGATTAAGGTCGACTATTATGTAAAATAATCATTTGCAATAACCATATTAAATGTCAGCTTTTTAACATTAGGTGGTTTGCGAACATCTAAATACTTTTTATTTTGTCTATCGATTAAACAGGCATACTTATAGATATAAGTACGTTTCCCGTATTTAATTGGGCAGAAATTACTAAACTAGTTTTTCAACATCATAACTAAAAAAAAACTAAGCAAAAAAGGGGATTCCATGAACAAACTTTTGTTGCCGTTAATGAAAAGGACATTTGACAAAAATCCGGGAGATATGCCGTTTTCTACTTCTTAACCGTAGAACCACAATGAAGTACATCTCTTCTCAAATGTTATATTTTAACGGCAAAATGGTAAAAGAGTGAAACAGGCTGTTATTTGAAAACTTGAGATGTAGGAACTTCATATTTAGTTTTTTTTATTTGCAGCTCAATTAGCTTGATTTAAAACGTTTTCCTTTTATTTTGTGGATGTTTTAAATCTGATAGTATAGATTCATGGAACAATTACAGGCCAATTTCAGTCATCAGCGTGCTCTCAAAAGTGTTAGAAATCATAATGAAAAAAGTCTGATTATGGTTTTGTAAAAAGTAGTAGTAGTACATTGAATACATCGATGGAGCATGTAAATAAATTAGCAGCAGCTTTATACAATAAAACCATTGCAATTAAGGTGTTTGCAGACCTTAGTAAGGCATTCTATGTTGTAAGTTTTGATATTTTATTGCAGCCGCTTAGAGACATGTGATTTAGAGGGAAATTATACAATTTATTGGAGTCATATCTAGTTAAAAGAAACTATCTTGAGGACTAAAATTGTTTGGCAAAAGGCATTTAATGATCGATGTATAACATTTACAGCGCATACTTTCAATCATGTCTTACATATTTTTCATTTGTATGGGATGTGCGTGGGATGCACAGGCTCAAAATAAGTCACTAATTTTTATTAATCTGGACTGGTTCACACACACGCCTAACCTATCTGAGGAAATTAACATCCTTATCTTGGATAAGCTACTTAAGTTGCATACACGAATATAACACTAGAACACGTAGGTATATATACCAGTCTGATGTCAATACTAAAATAATATGTCTGAATAACTCAATATCACAAACATCAAAGACGTACAATTAACTGTCGGAATTAATGAAAAATAGAAACAATACATTTAACTATTTTGAGAAAAGTGTAAAATATTACATTGGCAAAAAATAATTTATATTGTATAACATTAGTTAAATGCATTTAGAAGCTATTATTCTCGATACCAGTGCTAGAAGCACTGTTTAGATTTAGAGAATTGTATGTTATATGTATATATTAAATATCACAAATTTTGTGATATTTATTTTTGCAATTTGTCTTTTCAAGAAAATACCAAATACTCTTACAAGAAAGCAGTGTAATGCTTCCCATGGGAGCCCTTGGATCTCCACAATATTCTGAGGTCGCGATGTCATCGCCGTGTCCGCCGTCGCCGTCGAGGTGCCCCACCACCTAGTGCCCGCCGTGGTAAAGCGACCCAGCGCCGACTTGGATTCGACAGTCTGTTACGTGGAGCATTGATACCTGTTGCGCGTTCACCTTTTACTGCTTGCATATCCGAATCGCGGTTGCCGTGCTTTGCTTTCTTTCGTGGTTGTGACTGAAGAACATCGAGCTTTTGGCAGACTCAGAATCGTCGGGGACCAGTGGACGATCAGTGCGGGTTTTTGGTTTTCATTTCTTTGGAGGGATACACTGTTGGTTTTCTTGGAAGTGAGGATATTGATTTCATTATTTGAAGAGGTAAATGACTGATTTAAGAGAAAAAACTGTAATGAGGAGCTCTTATCTCAAAGGGTCAAACGAACTAGCTGGAGATAACAAAAATGTATGGTGAATCTATTACAAATGATGAATTCTGTACTGCTACACATATGTTTTAATCCACCCAACCTAAATTTAAAACTGGATGAGCAAATTTTTTCATGATGTAATGGTACCACCAGGAAAGTTAATTCCTAAGCTCGTATGGCTTTAATGCTTAACCCAAGGGTGTAACAAATCGCATCTTTCAAGATCTTATAGGCTATCACGGAGCCTAAAAACCGTTGTAGAGGGGCTGCTGTAAAAGAATTTAATCAGTAAGTTCATCCGAATTTTGATTTGTCCAGAAAAGCATACATTTTATGATACCTGTGCAACAAAGGATCTACTGTATTGGCCTGTTCATGTATAACATACTGACAAATCCGTCCATTACTTAAAACAGGCGGCAGTACCATGGAGGCAAAGGCCAGCAGTTAGTAATACGAGTACAGGCACTATTGAAAAAATTTGACATTATTGTTCTAAGCAGCATGGCGCATCTGAAAAGTTATGGTCCTTCCCATAGAACAGCGTTTGAGGCCTTAGGATGAATGGGCTCCTCAAGTCATTCCCGTATGCCATAGTCCTGCTGAAACTGAAGCTGAAGTAGACCCCTGACTCCAAGCAACATCTGAAGTGTTCACGATGCAAAAAGATTTTCTAGTAGAGAGACTGTAGCATCTGCTTGAAGCACGAGATTTATTTTAGTCAAGCATATTAGTGTTGGAGACAAGATCGATCCCGCAATTATCTTATGGGAAAAATAGAAGTCCATATGCCACAGCGAAGAATAAATTGTGGTCAGAATGGAGTTTATTATTCTATATGCAAGCTTTTTTGGAAGACCGTAAAATGGAAGTTTTTTTTTGAGGAAGCAGCAGATTGATGCTTTTGATTCAGGAGCAAATTTAATTGAATGTCGCAACAACCTAAGGTGTTTCCTAATTTAGCGATTTAGAGGAACATATCAATGCTTCAAAGGGACAGAGAGCCTGAAGCTTCAGGATGGAGCTTTCTTGTTGGTACCCTATGGTTCATGCAAAGTTTCATTAGTCATATTATGCGAAGTTTGACTCCTGGGAGAGGTTCTTATAATATTGACATCCATATATTAACTTTAATTCCAAGTCTTAAAAAATTGAATGGAAGAAAATATAATCGTTTTCAGATTATTGTGAATTGAAAATTATATAGCAAAATTGTCAGGATCTACAGTTTTGAAACATGTTATAGACATGCATCCACCCAGTATTCTTGCCCAGTACTTTGGCGATATAACATTTCTGTTATAAAATTGAGATATAGGAGCTCCTTTGATATTGCTATTGTTAAAATGAATCTTGTTTGAGAAACTGTGATAGATAGGAAGTCGTAGTAAAAATAATTAATCACATAATTCTGCGAATGTATCAATTAATTTAGCCTATTAGTCATGATGTTAATATGCGGACACTGAATCCATACTAGGTCAAACGTAATTTTGTAATCTGCAGTCTTACCTGCCCTGAACCGTATGATTACATTTTGACACTGTTTTGTTATAATACTCTTTAATGGAAAAAGAAACAATTTCTATTGTCATCTGAGAACACTTGTACGCTTATTTGATCCATTAAGCTTGAGTTCTGGTGGTTACCATAGAACATGTCATGCAGGGTTCTGGATATTGAAATAAGACAGCGCATCTATCACCAAAAGCGACCAATGGGGAAAGTGCATAGCAGCTATTTGTTGGAACTGTAAATATTATCAGTTCGCGTTTAATAGGCCAGTGACCATGTGACCGCTAGATGGCTGACAATTCTGGCTGTAGAGTAGATGTTGTCTGCTTGCCATGGAACAAACTAAACATTATTCTTACGTCTTTGGCTACTCATCAGCATGGTCTAGGCTTGGTCTCTCGTCTCTGGGACAACGAACGAAAGCAAAGCGATTATCCTCTATCCAGGAGGTACGGTGTGATGGTATTCTGGCCCACTGTCGGTATCCATACAGTCTGCCACCTAGGGAGATAATCACAGCTATATCCATAGCTAAAAAATGCTTTTAATGTGGGATTTCGTGCTCTTACGGGCTATAAGATACACCCCGTAACATATCGCGATATTTTTAAAATAATTTATTATTTTTGTGCTTAGTGGAAAGAGACTTTTCTCTATTTGTATTGGTCGTAAATCTAAGTAGTGGATCGCAAAAATGCTTCGTCAGAATCTAATACTAGACCGCTTTCTTGGGTTTTTCAGAATATGATATAGGCAAACACTGGAATCTCATCTCTAGTGTGAGAAGCAGATGATAGAAACACAATATAGATAAAAGGCATCCGTGCAAGTGAATTTTCTGAATGGAAAATAAACAAATGTACTAGGCATATATTTGCATGGCCCCGATCGATGCACTGAAAATCATGCCGAACTAGGCAAAACGTGAAAATGCTAATTTGCCTGTGACAGTAACCGACTTCTGCCGTTATCCTGTATTATCATCGAAAATGCAACCAACATTTCCATATTGCACTGTAAAATGCAAAGTTTGTGAAAATTGATCGCGTTTTCCAGAATATAGCTCTCTATTGGAACGGTGACCGCCATTGAGATTAATTAGACACTTCAAATCTTGCACGTAAAGTCTTATATTAATTCACTATCATAAACCATTTCGAGGCGTACGTGTGAACGTACTAATGTTAATTGCGGAGATGACATTAACAACGATATGTTCTCATGAACGTCGGCATTGTCATCCTATATTCTATCAATTTGCTATAACTATATTATCTGCTTATCTGCCTCCATTTTGTAGCTGATTATGTTTTTTGATGACTTGATCATATTTTATGTCATATCTGACAAATGAATGAAACATAATTATGATATGAATACATTTGCCTGTAATTTTTTTTGTCTATAAGACTAACTTGCGACACCCGATTACAAGGCTCTTGATTGTAAATGTTTGAATGTGCAGTCATGCTTCGATGTATTAGTGAAAACGAACTAAAGACTTTAAAGGTGTAACTAAAGAATGAGTTTTTATAACTGTGTAGTTTTGATGTTACTCTACGTCTCATTGAGTATTTAGGTGGACGATATTAACTATAATATATATATATATATATATATTCATATTTCCAAAGTTTACAATTATAAGTTCATTTTGGAACACCTGGTAATGAATTTGTATTTCCTAAAATTTTTTTCAGTGCAGACCTAGTTCTTGCGTATGAACTCGGACTATAAATTTTGCGAATCTATAAAGTCGGCTTTTACGTAATGTGCTCATCCGCAATGTTTCAAAACAGATGACATATTCAGGTTAAATTTTATATAATCCGTGGTTCCACGGAGATTTCGTATGAACAAAACGTTGCGACAATGCTTTTGATCACCCAGTAGTTTGGTACGTATGAAACTTGTATCAGAAGTTATTTATCTACAACCAAACGATACTATATCCAAAAATAAATGTGTAGATCATATTGTACCACCCTACAGTTCGTCTTTTGTACAAGGTGTTTTTTAAACATGAGACAAACATTCAAAGGTTGATTTTTCGACCATTCGATATTTTTGGAAACTGAATTTGTTACCAAGAAGCTTGAATCCGAAACTTCTAAATCTAATCTACAAAAAACTTTTCTTTATATTCCACTGTCAAATGTATCAGGGTCATTTATTATTGAGTTGTGTCTAGTAATTTCGAGATCTTCTACTGTTTCTTTTGGAGTAGGGCTTGGTAACTTTGGATGACCCTTAAGGAAGAATATAGAGTATAAAAAGTGAACATCCAGCTGGCCATATGTGAGGTTCATATCATTTTGGATGTTTTTGGCCCTCGATCTTCCAAATGAGCCGGTCTTGAAAACCGATAAGATAATTTTAGCGTCAATTGAACCAAACTATGTAATATCATTTTACATACTTTAGGAACTTTAAAGATTCAAACCCAAAAGTAAAACATGGAGTATTTATTCTTCATGTCATATTGACGTCTCATCTTGGGCAATTTTCAGATGCTTTTAAACCAAGCTTGAATTCACCACTAACGGATATGCCCAGCTCTAACTGTATCAGGGATTATCTATTTAGTTTATATCTGTAGGATGATTCTGCTACTGAGCAAAGGAAATATTCATTGACATTCAAATGCACAGTTCATAAGGAAATATCATTATGATACAAATCTCATTAGACCTCGCGTAAGTACGGCATTATAATGGCCTACTATCACGACATTACATTATATAAGGCTACTAGATCGAACAATGAGTTGTAAATAAAGCGGTAAGTAGGAAAATTGCGGTAAAGCTTATAAACACATGGAACGGGTAACGCTATATTTAACCCTTTCACTTGTTTCGCAGATTTGATACTGGTGTATTGCAGAGTTACAGCAAACGCAGTTTAAATGTTTTTCATCAGAATTCAGTCTAATTTTAAACACTTATATGTCCAAAGCTCGGCTTCTCACAGTGACTCAAGTTGGATTGGAGTAACTCAAATAGAGGGGCGTCTGGACCGGGGCACAGATTTCCTCCAAAAAATTCTTGCGGCCTGTTGGCCTTCTAACTCAGGCCTTAACAGCATTTCGTCCAATGCGCTTAGTACATGAGATATTAATCAACAAAGAATGTCAGCGCGTGTTCAATAAGTTCAAGTTCATTTTCCGATGTCATATCTGCTATATTTTACTTAGTTAAGGATCGCTGAGGCTACATACCTATTGCTTTTCATATAATTTTTTGTTTCATTTTTGTTAAACATAATGTTACCTGATTTTTTTGGAACTATTAACTAACAACTTATTATATGTACTTATTTAAATAACTTTGGATTCTAGTTATCAAAACATCATTTAGGGTCGTTGCGTCAGTCGTTCCTACAATTGTGAGACGCCTTTATAGCCTCCTTGCTTTTCATAGCTTTTTTTAGGGAGGC